CTACTGGCGGCAGATGCGCAAGATCTGCACTGCCGAGCTCCTGAGCGCAAAGAACGTCAAGTCATTCGAGCATGTCCGGCTGGACGAGGGATACCGATTGGTCAGTTCTCTCATGAGGAAAGAACAAGAAGAAGAAGAAGAAGCCGTTGATCTGACCCACAGGATCTTCGAGTTCACGAGTGCGTTTACGTACAGGGTGGTGTTTGGGGGAGTTGGTGTGAGGGACCGGGCAGCACTTGTGGCTATGATCAGGAAGGCGGTCACCATGGCAGCCGGGTTCGAGCTGGCGGATTTGTTCCCCTCGATCAAGTTGCTACATGCCCTGAGCTGGAACAGGGTTAAGTTGGTGAGGATGAGGCGTAAAGTTGACGAGATGCTTGACGAGATGTTGAAGGAGCATAGGAGGAAGGGAAGGAGTGGGGAATTTGGTGGAGAGGACATTGTGGATGTTTTGCTTAGAATGCAAAAGGATGGGGGCCTCAACTTTCCCATTACGGACGACAATATCAAGGGTGTCGTCTTTGTAAGTGCCCCATCCAACCTTCATTATGTGTCGACTCTATTGGTAGTCTTTTGTAAGCTAACTCTTGGCCATGCATTTTTTATGTATTAATTTTTGTAAGGATATGTTTGCTGCTGGAACCGAAACATCGTCCACGGTTGCTGATTGGGCAATGGTGGAGCTTATGAGAAACCCGGACGTGATGGCGAAAGCACAAGCAGAAATACGGAGCGCCTTCATAGGGAAGAACATGATTGAGGAGAGTGATCTGCAGGCACTAAAGTACTTAAAACTGGTGATCAAGGAAACATTCAGACTGCACCCTCAGGCACCATTCGTCGTGAGAGCATCCAGAGAGGAATGCGAGATTGGTGGCTACTCAATTCCTGCAAAAACCAAAATCCTGGTCAACACATGGTCCGTAGGAAGGGATCCCAAGTGTTGGGCCGAGCCCGAAATCTTCCGACCCGAAAGGTTTGCTAACAGCTCAATAGATTTCTTGGGTAACGACTATGAG